TTCTTTGTCCTTCCAGTTATAATGCCTCCCTCAGCTCTTGACCGCCTCGGTAAATTGATAATTTTCTCTCTTATTTGTCCTGCTGTTGCCAATTGGATTTTCAACTTATGTAACCCTGGGTCCTGATAAATATGATGTGCCAACTAAATACGAGCTTTTCTTCTCCAGCATCTTTACAGATCGACTACCCTATGTTGTTTGAACTTAACAATCCTACTGTTGACCGAGTTACTCATTGTGGGGTTTTGGAATTTGTTGCTGATGAGGGCCTAATCTATTTACCTTACTGGGTACACATGTCTCTCTTGGAATTTGTTGCAGCAGCATTCCAGATATGGTGATGCTTACTCATTTATGTTCTTTTGTTTCTTTGTAGATGATGGAGAACATGCTCCTTCAAGAGGGAGACATTTGTCAAGTGAAAAACAAAAGCCTTGTAAAGGGAACATATGTGAAGTTGCAGCCCCACACCAAGGACTTTCTTGATATCTCAAATCCCAAAGCCATGTTAGTTAATCACTTTGATATCTTCATTTGGGTAATTGCATTGCACTTTGAGTGTAATAATAAAATATTTATATCCTCACTTTTCTTCCTTCAGTTTGGAGACTACATTGAGGAGCTACTCTTGTTTAACCACTGGTGACACTATCATGGTTCCTTATAACAATAAGAAGTATTACATCAACATAGTTGAAACAAAACCCTCCTCTGCAATCAGTATAATTGAGACGGACTGTGAGGTTGATTTTGCCCCTCCTCTTGATTATGTGGAACCAGAGAAACCAGCACCTACTACTTCGTCAAAGAAGAGACTACTAGAAGGTAGTTATGTTATTCTGTTTAAATAATTTTGAAAGATGGTTCAGTTCTAACTATTGACCTTAATATTTTAGCTTATAAGATGATAGAATTCCTTTTTAACGGATGACATCAATTTTCCATTTTTAACATGTATCTTTCAGCCGAAGAAGAACCACCTGAAAAGATAGCAAAATTCAGTCCCTTTACTGGTTCAGGAAAACGACTGGATGGGAAACCCTTGACACAATCAGTTGCACCAGTTTCCTCTCCCATACTCAAGCAGCACCAACTGAAGAGTGAAAATGGAACCAAGGGTTCGAAGTCGTCAACTTGTGCTGCACGTCAACACTCTGGAAAGCTTGTGTTTGGTTCGAATGTCAACCAGCGCACAAATGAAACCCCAAAAGTATGCCCTTTTTTTTCTAATTTAACTGATTATCTGTTCTTATTAACTTTAAACTATCTCATCTGTTTGGTTTGAACTTGTAAACCCAGGTTGCCCCAAAGAACAGCAGGCAAGAGCCTTCTCAGAAGGCAGAAGATCCTTCTCAGAAGACAGATGAGCCAAAGTTCCAAGCATTCACGGGGAAGAAGTATTCACTGAAGGGGTGAAGTTAAAGGCATATCCTTCATCCAAAGCGAAAAAAAAAAAAAGAGAAGGCATTTATTCCATCAATTCTTTTTTAGATGAAACAGTCAAGTGATTGTGGCAATGGAAGTTCCAACCCCAGAAAGTGTTATGCACATGAATGATGCTTTTTGTCTTTGTGTAAATATCCATATGAACTAGAAGTTGGTATGAAATGACAATTCAAACATACCTTCCATGTCGTACAGATTATGTGGAATTTTGTTCATATATTTATAATATATCTTTATTTTCTTGAATTGTTGGATATTGTCCTGAGTGCTTTCCTGCTCTTCATCGGGCTTTGCTTCAACTCAAAATTTATGCGCCAATCAATTTAAATAGAGCAAGTTATGCAAACCTTCCTTGAGGTTCAGTAAGCTTTACATTAACCTTCCTCTTATTTTGAGAAACAACACTCGTTGTAATTTGAAATCTATTATATGAGAAGGGAGGTTAGTGTTATTTATAAAAAAAAAAAGTTTAGGCTATAAATGACAGACAGTCACGTTTTCATAACTTAGAAGATTTAAATCATTTCGGGATTTTTTTTATATAAATTTTTATACTAGTGGTGGTCTAGACTTTTCTAAATTATAGAGAAGAGGATCGAGGGCTTTCAAGAAGGCTTTCAATATTCTCTCAGTGCAAGGTTGGTTCAGGTCCTTCATGAAAAAAAAATTCCAATCGATTTTCATTTTTCTTTTTGCTTTTTTGGAGGAGTAGCTAATTTTAAAAAAGGATAAGCTGCTGATATCAAATAATTAGAGCATCAACAATGGGCTTCCTAAACCACCTTCTTAGACAAATTTTAGGGAGGAATTGGAAAAATACAACCCCAACCATGCTCTCTATCCACCTCTTAAAATAGAGAGACCTCTAGAAGCTCCTAAATTTGAAGAGAGATAGAACTCCTAGTGGCTCCCTATAATTTAATGTTGCTTTGTTTTATGCATAGTTTAAACCTTTAATTAACGCTAACTAGTTTTTTATCTTATTTTTTTAGAGTTCTACTAAACGAACCCTAAATTAACTTAGTACACCCTATGATCTAAGTACACCCTAATATTTTAATTAAAATATAAAATTAATTAAGTACACTCTATTTAACTACCAAAAATACTCATGTTACACCCTAATACACTCTACCACACAACACTCTAATACCAATCCTAAACCAAGTTTCTCTTTTTACATGAATTCGTGCCCTCTTTTCATATTTATAAATGTATTGAATTGAACTACAGACACAAACATTGAACTTATTATTTGGTTTCACAAGTTATATGAAGGGATTTTCATGGGCCCTTAACATATTATTTGAATCTAAACCAGAAAAGCTATGAAGGCATTTCCGATGTTTGCAACAAGACTACAGCATACCCACATGGTCATGGATCTCTTCAGATAATCAATATTAAACAACCCATAAACTTCTCCCTTTGAAGAACAAATTGAAACCAATTTCTAGAGGAAGGTTACTAAACATTTTAGCCCGTAAAGAACAAATCAAGACAGTATAACCCATTTGATAACAAAATCAAAATGAGATTTACCAATACTAGACTAGACAACCATGGTGCTAGTATATTGGTACGACAACGGCGTTATTGTAACGGTGGAGAAGTGGATGGTATGACGACGGTGTTAGTGTGACGGTGGAGGAAACGATATTATGAAGGAGGCGTTGCTATGTTCGGTGGAGGAGTCGTCGACGGTGTTTCACAATTCAATATATCATTTTTGGTCATTTTATACTAGGGTAAATTAGTAATTCAATAAATAATTTGATAATAGGGTGTACTAAGTTAATATTATGGTTCGTTTAGTAACACTCTTTTTTTTATAGAGATGGACCAATCATATTGAATTAAAAAATAACTATAGTAGTTGTGACTCCCTAAACTAGGGAGTATGATTGGAGTTCAAATTTTATACAAAGCTCCTAAAATAGCTTTTGTGTGCTTTTAGCTAAATTTTAACTAAAAAAATTAGGGAGCATGATTGTGGTCCACAATCATGCTCTCTATTTTTTTTATTAAATTTTAGCTAAAAACATATAAAAGTTATTTTAGGAGCTCTCTATAAAATTTAAACTCCAATCATGCTCTCTAGTTTATGGAGTCATAAATGATATAACTCTTTTTTAATTGGTCAATGTATATTAAAAAATAATATAAAAAATAATTAGCATTAATTAAAGGTTTGAAATACTCATTAAATAAAGCAGCACTAAATTATAGGGGGCCACTATGAGTCCTTTCTCTCTCTTCATATTTAGGAGCTCCTAGAGGTCTCCCTATTTTAGAGCATCCATAATCATTCTCTATATTTTTTAGTTAATTTTTAACTAAAAAAATATAAAAATTATTTTAGGAGCTCTCTATAAAATTTAAACTCCAATCATGCTCTCTAGTTTAGGGAGTCATAAATGCTATAACTATTTTTTAATTGGTCCATCTCTATTAAAAAATAATCTAAAAAAATAATTAGCACTAATTAAAGGTTTAAAATACTCATTAAATTATAAGGAGCCACTGGAGTTATTTCTCTCCTCAGATTTAGGAGCTCCTAGAGGTCTCTCTATTTTAGGAGGGGGGAATGCTAGCAACCTTCTCTCTAACCTTCTCCTTTGGACCATCTCCATTTTTTGCTTGACATGTGTTATTCTCCTTACACTTAAAGCAATGTCATTAATATATTATACAAGCTAACTTTTGCTTTCCAAGTTTACTCTTATTAAATGTATTCAATTTATCCAAAAAAAACTCACAACTTTCTTACAATCTTATTATTATTTTTTTTCACGTCAATTATTTTTTTTAAAAGAAAATGTTTGCTTTTTAAAAAAAGAGGAAATCCCCCCCCCCCCCCCCCCCTTTTTTTTTTTTTTTAACACAAAGGGTTTAGATAGAAAAAAAAAAAAGAAGGCTAAACTTGAAGTTAAAAAAAGGGCATTTTCTCTTTTTTTTTAAAAAGCAGACATTTTCTTTAAAAAAAATAATTGACGTTAAAAAAAAAATTAATAAGATGGTAAGAAAGTTGTGAATTTTTTTTGGATAAATTGAATACATTTAATAAGTATAAACTTAGAAAACAAAAGTTAGCTTGTATAATATATTAATGGCATTGTTTTAAGTGTAAGGAAAATAACACATGTCAAGCAAAAAATAGAGAAGGTCCAAAGGAGAAGGTTAGAGAGAGGGTTGCTAGCATTGGATAGGGAGGACGATTGGAGTTGTATTTTTTCAAATCCTCCCTAAAATTTGTCTAAGGATGTGGTTTAGGAAGCCCATTGTAGATGCTCTTAGTAGGTGGATAGGGGGCATAATTGAAGTTGTAATTTTCCAATTCCTCCCTAAAATTTGTCTAAGGAAGTGATTTAGGATGCCACTGTTGATGCTCTTAGGTCTCAAATAATATCATATTCCTAGCAAATAAATGAGTAGCCTATCTTCAGAAATACCAATTGGAAGTTAATATAAAATAAATAAATTGGAAGAGAAGGAACATAAAAGCCTAGGCAACGTAGAACAAGCCATTTGTAGAATGTGACATATCTTAACCGTCACCCAATCTGTACGAGAAAACTGAACACGGACATGACTTTGTGAAAAATAAATATGGTAGAAACAGTTTTACTGTCATGAAAAGAAGGGGCTTTCCAGCATGGTAGAAACAGTATTGCTTGATTAAGCTTACATATATAATACAATTCTACAATTCCAATGTACGAGAAAATCACATAAACAAATAAGAAAACTCATCAGCCATATGGTTGCCTGTAATGAATGCAGCAACATTTCAGATAACTTAAAAATGGCCTAAGCTTGTACTGGCTGTTCGATTGCAATCTCTCGCGAATATCGAACATTTTCACACTGTTCAGTGGTTTCCCAGAGTTCTGGCAATGCTTCCTTGATATTATGGATGCTCTCAAATGCATGATCCGCACCTTTAGTTCGGTGAGATGTGCCAATCTACACAACAATTTCATAAACCATATTGGTGAGAATGATATCCTTAGATCATTTCTCAGATACAGCAAAATGTTAATTGCACAAACTTGGTATTAGTAACTTACCATTACTGTATGGAGCCCCAACTCCTTTGCAGTTTGCAAATTGCGAATGCTATCGTCGAAGAATAACTGGAAACGAAAATGAAATCACAAAACGAATTGAAGAATGTTGAAGACAAGTAAAAGTATACAAAATGAATTGAACAGTGCTAAGAAATAGTATACACCCTATTATTTCAAACAGTACCCAGCCAATTATGAGACCTATGGCAAAGTCAATTGCCGTAGTTAAAATATAAAAAAAATTCTTACCGTTCTTTTGGGGTTGATGTTTGCAATCTTGAAAGTTTCTTCATACGCATGCTCAAACGGTTTGCACACAACTGGGGTCTTTGGAATTACAGAACCAGTATTTGGTTGTTCAATATTTTCAGTTTCTTCGGCACCAACAGAATCATCAGCATTGTTGGTGGGATTCAGAGTCTCGAAGCATATAATCGTCTCAAAGCAGTCCTCTATTCCAAGCTTCCCGAGCACACTAGCGGCATGTGCCTTGTCTGAATTTGTGAAAATCTACACACAATGACCAACATAACATGAGAAGAACGCATTGTTGTTAAAACATCCCGCTATTTTTTTTTAAAGACCACATTTGAGAGTATAGATTGATCAATAAAACTTACTACTTTCCGGATAGGTAGACTAAGTAAAAGACCCCTGAGAATAGGGTCAGGATTAAGTGAATCGTAGGGCAACCTCCCATGAACAAAACTGCAAAAATGATTATTGTGACAAACCAAGATCACATGATTGTCGTAAACAATAGGAGCACAAATTAAGGTTAAGCATTTGGTACCTATGAAAGTCATCATACTCGAAGTTATAGCCCCGAGCCTGGAAATAAGGAAAAGCGCAAAACCAAGTTCATTTATCATTCTGTTCTGCCTTAAATACTTTTAGAAACAAAAATTAAAAGTTGAAGGGATCATAATCACCCTACCTTAAGACCAGCCATCGTCGTCCCGTAATCCTTGTATAATGAAATACACAATTCAGGAACTTCATTTTCCTTCATGCCAAGCTTTTGGAGCATAAATTCTACAGCGAAAAATTCATAGAAATTTTATTCAAACAATGAACATTTCATATAAAAACTTTAAAATCCACAATCATAAAGCATTCCTCACCTTGAATATTCTTAGTGATTTGTACTGAAATCCCTGAACTCAGAGGATATAGGGTGTCATCTAGATCTGGAAATCAAAACAGCTAGTTGTTATTCTGCCTTCGAGAACCATAAATTTCAAATCGACAAAACCTGTGTATTAAGGCTTACCAAAAAGAAGGCAGTCATATTGCTGATATTGATCCTCGTTTTCCATCTTGATCTAGAAGGCTTAAAACCAGAGGAATTGAAAAAAAGCATTAAGCATATAAACAACTTCAACCACAAAATCCTAAATGCTACAAGTAGTAATAGAACTTCCAATGTTTTACATTTTAAAACTTAATTTTGATGGAAAATCACAATGCCTTCAAACCCAAACCTCACAAAAAATTCAATCTTTTATTTCCAAACCATCAAAAAAATCAAAAACTAAAAGGCCCTATATCACAAAAGAAAAGGTAACAAACTTACACATTACATTTCTGTTATCACAGATGCAAAAACATTCACACCCCCACACCCGATTAAAGCAAGAAGATCACTCAAATCCCAGAAAGTATAGACATTGAAGAAACATTACAATGGACAAAATAAAACCCAATATTTGATTTCTACAACTTCAAAAATTGTGAACGAGAAATCAGAAAACAATGCTCCATCACAATGAACAAAGAAAACCCAGTATTTGATATCTCACACGCTAACCATTGTGATTGAAAATATAAAGAAAAGGATCCAAACTTCTAAAGTAACAAAAAGCATTCAAAGACTAGAAAATGAGCGTTACCAGATCCAAATGGCCGCAGTTGTAGATACTAGAGAGAGAGAGAGAGATGGAGAGAAAAAGGGAGGATTTTCAGAAGGGAAACGAGAGAGAGAAAAAATAATCGGAAGCGTGAAAGTTTTTAAATAGCCACACACACCCTTCATTTTAATATAGGATTTCAATTTCTTCGAACGTCAAACGGTCAAAGTGATAACCCCATTTTGACCGCATTACGTGGCCCTATGCGAGAGTGAAACGTGCCTGCTTTACGCGAGATGCCTATTGGATTTCAATTTCTTAACGTCAAAGTCATAACCCCTTTTTTGACCACATTACGTGGCCCTATGCGAGCCTGACACGTGCCTGATTTACGCGAGATGCCTGCCAAAAAATCGAATTTGATTACACACGTGTCGTTATCGCCAGGAGACTTTGGTATTTTATTTTTGTGGCATACGTTATACGTACCCGGTTAGCCACGTCCCTGAAATTCACTTTGATTTTATGCTTTTTTGAGTAACATAAAAAATCTTCATGACAAAGCAACTTTTTGCCCCTTTTTTATGGGAGAGTTGTTACTCAAATAATCTTTTTCTTATTTAGGTATTGCAAGTTGCAACACCTTATCAAGCTCAAAAATCCTCCAACAATACAAGGCTTTCTCTTCCTAGGATTCTTCCTTTTCAGTATAAGTTCTTGTCTTCGTCTGCTGTATATGGAAACCAAAGATGTAAGATCAACGTAAAATAAGACCGAGCCAAAATACAGAGACTTGTGTTGTTTTGTTTGTGATTATATGGGTGACCAGTCTGACAGTCGGATTCAAGAATTTCTCCTCATTACAATTTAAAACTTAAAAACACTCCAACAACTTTCTATAAAGGCTTTTTATCACAAATGGTCCTTGACGTTTACAAAATTATCGCGAATGGTCCTTGAGGTTTTTTTGTGACACTAATAGTCCTTAACGTTAGGGATTTTTATCACAAATGGTCCTTCCGTTAGAAATTCTGTTAAGTTTATGATGTGGAAGATAAGTGGAGCCCATATGTCCAATCACATCGTGACATGTGGATTGAATAAATAATAAAATATTTTTTTTATGAAAATCCATTAAAAATCCATTTAGCCGCTCT